TCCACGCCTGGGGTTGTAGAGCCCGTCGCCACGCGGAAGGGATGGGACGAAGCGCACACATAGCCACCACCGGTGTGGGCGGACGTAGATTTCCTGATCCGCTAAAGAGCAAACCTTCAGCGTCGCGCCCAAACCTCGGGGATGAGCTTGATGAAATACGTCGTCAAGAGGACATTTAGTGTTGTAGCTGCAGGGGCAAGCTTGTTGGGTCCGGGGTGGGCGGGAGTTGTTGATCCGCTCCGGAGAAAGCAGGGGGCATAAACTGCGTCGCAGAAGCCCTCGAGGAAATGCCAGTCTGTGACATTCCAGTTAGCTATGTAGGATAGCTGTGAGTTGCCTCCACCAGCGGAGTCATGCCTAGCGATACCGGGACATGCGCCGCCACTAGCACTACTAAAGGTGCTTCAATAAGGTGGGCTAACTCTATGGTGCTAGTGCTATATATTCTCCACTGCACTCTACCCGATGGGTCTCGCTGACGAGCCGAAGGCACAGCGGTGTAGTAACAGAAAGCGCGCCGAAGGCGCGGGACCTGTTTTGTTGATCAGCGCGCGCTGAACAACAAAAACAAGATAAGCTAACCAGCTTAATGCGCGCAATAAATGACGGCCCTGAGGACACGGGCCGTTGCGAAACAGTTAGTCTAACAGTTACGCATTGGGCCTTACGCCCAACTAACCCAGCTTACTTACGCAAGCTCGCAATACAATCCACACCTGAAACAAATCTGTCGGAACATAATAAGCTATAGCTTAATTCTATGCGCCGACATCGGCCCTCCCTTTATTTGCTGTAATACGATATTCCACGGAGAGAATGGCCGCCCGGTGATGTCATCGTGTTTTTCTGTTGTGTGTTAGGGGTATACTGTGTGCTGATTGCCATTTCAAAAGGCTGTTACAGTCTATGTATTTGCTGCTTCGCATGAGGGCTGCTGACTACACGAGGCAGGCTGTGTTGTGCGTGACGAGGAGCACCGTGACATGAGCGTGATGTTCGTTCACACATGCATATCATCATTTAGTAGTTTCTGCACTACTCGCCACAAATTGGTCGCGCTAGCGCGACCAATAATACTTTTTTTGGACACGAACTCAGCGCGCTTTAATCATAATACTTGTCGTCGGCCGCGGGCCGCTTGCAGGATGCGAATGGATACGAACTGCCGGCCAACCGGAAGGGCGGCCTTTTACCTGCAGCTGACAAATAATAATACGAATAAAATGAAGACGTTTGCTCGCGTGATGCACGATGAACCCCAAACTTTACCTCTGCTTTACCTCTTTGCTGCATGCCTAGGAGTATATGCCCCATGATGAGGCGGGCTGGGGGACGTTGCGGCTCTTCAAAGGAACTGTGCTAGCTAGCTAGCTTTTCTGAATATAAATTTTTGCAAAGATTTAAGCAGTTTTTCGCAACGGCTCCTAAACCTCTCAAGAGTCGACGTTTTCACTGCAGTCTGTAGCATTATGTAACGGTCTACAACAAAATCCAACGGTTTGTAACAGGCGATACCAGACATCGCCAAAAGGATCTGGTTTCGGGAACCAACGGTCTATTCCTGTCATCAGTGACTGCCGGCCTAGAATTTTACAACAAACAAAAAACCTTTCTGGTCCGGCCGTTGGGCAGCTGACCCGAAAAAGGCTGCAGCCTTTCGGGTCGAAACCCAAAGATCTTTCGTACAGGATGGTCCTATTTTGGCTCATGATGGCCCTCGAAAGATCTGCATATGTGTGTCGGCTTTGGTAACTAAACATATTTCTTTCGCTTTCGGCTGGAGTTTAGGTACCGAGTACGACCCGCAGTGCATGCGGCTTTTGGTGTGTATGAGTATGCGTCGTGCTCTCGGTCACTTCACCAGCAGGTCAGCAGGCGAATACATCCGTCGGGCCCGGGGGGATGAGGTGTATGTTGATCTGCCCAACGGCGGCCCAGATCTATTTCTGTTTTCGGGAGTTTCGTTATTCGTATATTCGTAAGGCCCGAAGTGCCCGAAGCGTTTTTTACCCAGGTGTCCGGTTTGTACAATAACGGACGGACTCCGTAACGGTCTCTCAACTGTATGTCCAATATATGTCCTGACCGTCCGCAACCAGAGATCGGCAAATCCTGCGGGTACTGCGGGTCCGCAGTACCGCAATACCCGCAGCCGAAATTCGGCTTAAGGCCCCGTAAGGCGGCGGCTCCCTAAAGACCAAAATTTGACCAAAAAATGTGTTTTGCTGCCCCACAGAAACATTCCTATTCCTCGTCGACTTGCGGGCGTGAGCTTCCTAACAGTATTCATGGCATTGAAGTGCTATGATATGGGTAACATGTATGTCTCCTGTAAGATTCTAGCGGCTTTGGCATGGACAGTCCCTTTGTGGCTGGAGGAATGAACTTGTACGGTCGGAACATTATTTATTCTTAACTTTCAGGGCCATGAACATTTTTTCATTCCGAATTCGGAATATATTCCGCAAAAAAATAACGCTGCCGGTGATGTACCCAAGATACTACATATGCACTGCAGCCGCGGCTGCGAAAAGCGCTAATCCAGCCACCAGACGGCCTTCCGACAGTCTGACTGCCACATTACTAATAATTCTAACAATGCATGGATGCAGGTCCTGCAGTTGAAAAAACTAAAACTCAAAAATGACATGCGGGTTTTGTTTTATGGGTTAAAAATACGGGTTTTTCAACAACTCTAGGCAAAAACATAGTCGGTGGGGCTGCCGCAAATTTCAAGATGTACCTGTTTATTGGAGTTATCTCCAGAAGCCGATGTACAGCACACTAAACCACACGTGCACACACACATACATGCACACACATACATACATACATACATACATACATACATACATACATACATACATACATACATACATACATCCTCAAGACTGGATCCATAATGCAACTCCTGCACTCCTCAAGCGGGTTTGACCGTGGGGCTGCACATGGGTGCCACACCATCACCCACACCCTCACCCGCACCATTACTCGTCATCATCAGTTCCGAGGCTCTATATCTGTCTGCTAGTCTGTCTGTCTGTCCGTCTGGGTGACCGTGGTAGGTGTGTGACCATGACGGACCCCCCCCCTCAGCATGACCATCGGTGACCAGTTCACCAACAACTGACAACCGACAACCGACAGTGAACTCACACACCGAATTCTTGCGTGTTGGGCAGTTGCTACATCTGCACACGGACTACCGGAGGCGGCGGGGGAGGGGGCGGGGGAGGCGGCGGGGGCGGGGGCGGGGGCGGAGGAGGGGGAGGGGGAGGGGGCGCTG